CATGTTAGCACGTAGAGCAATACTATTAAAGTGGAAAGATCCCTTCCCACCCACCCATACTCAATGGATTAGAGATATGATGTCTTGTCTCTGCCTTGAAAAAATTAGGTATTCACTAAAAGGGTCAGAAAATTTTTTTTTTAAGATGTGGCACCCTTTTATTGACTATGTTGATAAGTCTGTTTGATTTTTTTCTTTTTGTAATGTATTTTATTTATTATTATTCCCCCCTTTTTTTTAAATTTATTTTTATTTTTTTCTCTCTCTCATGCGAGTGTATGTGCATGTATCTCTTTTTATATATGGTTGGAGGTTGATTTATGTTGGCATGTGTATATATATACAGTATATATGCTCGGTTCTTCTACTTACAATTCCAGTCTGAATTAATGGACAGTATGGATGCTACTCTAGATGTTTGATGGTGAGGGTCGGGGATTGTTGTATGTGATTTAGAATGTAAATATAAATAAAAAAAACTTTGAAAGAAAAAGGCAGTCCGGTACTAAAATCGCACCCAGTTCCGGTGGTGCCAAAACGACAAAAAGTGGGTAGTTCCACAATTAGTTCTGGTACTATGAAAAGGTTCCCGCGGTGCGAAAGGCCCTATGATGTCACGGTTTGACCTCTTGAATTAAAAGAATTTCAACTTTAAATCTGCAGGACTGCTGTAAAGTAAGAATGCATATTTTTGCTTTTTAGATGTATCATATGTTGCACATGCTCAAAGTCTAGTGTGACCGCGGCGAGGCACAACATTAGTGACTAATATTGGAGTATTTGAAGCAATCATATCCCTTTTAAACGTCTCTTTTTCAAAAACATCAATGCTATGTTATTAATAACCTAACCACTTAAATTTTTCTCATCCTAATACCAGGTACAAATGGGGCCAGAGTATAGTCATCGCTGCATACAAAGATGGGATAGAATTAGTATAGGATAGCAGCATAGCTGGGATAGTACTTGAACAAAAAAAAGTCACAGCAGCTTTAACACTGTCTAAAACGCTGAATGCGAGTTCAGCTAAATGCAGCATGAAATTGGATCAGGGTTTGGGTAAAGCAGGCCACCAGGACAAAAGCGCAAGCATTAAGGCAAAGACAGTGTCTGGTTGGTGGTCTCTGGGGGTATGCACCCACAGTCACAACAGCAGTGCAGTAGCATAGCAGCGAGCTCTGAGGAAAGCTGGCCTAATGAGCCTCTGGCTGGGAAATTCTCCCAAAGCTCTTCATTAGATAAGGACGTGGGAATTGGTTCAGATCGCCCCGCAGCCTGGTGCCAGCTGCCATTCAAACTCTCCCAGCTGCGGAGCTGCTTCAGAACAATCGCGGCCTGAGCTATAACACCACTAAACCACTTAATTGAAAAAAAATCAGAGCTAGGGGGGAAAAAGCTGGTTTCAACTCAGGAGACTCAAATCTCCAAACTCCTATTTCAAGATTTAAGTTGACAGAATGTATGACGTACATTTGACAATTAAAACTCAACATGACAAAGCATTTAATAACTTAATAATGTAATTTATTCCTGAAACTGAACATTCAGTAGAAACCTGATGTAAAGTGAGATTTTATCAAAACTTGTAAAACTCAGCACAGTTTTACAAGTTTTGATAAAATCTCACTTTATTCATTTTTTTCCCCCCTACTGGTCACATGGTCTCTGTTTGTTCAGCATTATGACTATTTGCACTGCTGAGTCCAGAGATGTTTACTATGAAAATAATTAGGGAAAATGTTTCTGTAACAACAAAGAGCAAATGTGAAATAAACAGAAGTGTGTAGTGTGATGTAGAGTTGTACCTGTAAAGTGATCCAGATAGTATCGATAAAGCTTGCACTGAATGGGTGATAACCGTACCGCTAACACATACTCATGTTTTGGTGGCAGGAATTTTGTAAGGGCAGTGTAGTCTCTTCTCTGCAGAAAACAACCATTTTTACAACACTGTTACTCACAAACAAGCACTGAATATATCACTCATTTATGGATATGTATTATGCAAAATCACAAATAAATCTACAATATTCAAACTTTGAGTGGCTGTGGTCATTCGGCTTACTTGGACGCATCCTGCCAGCATCTCGTAGAGGATGTGTGCGCGCTTCTTCATGACTCGGACATCAACGAGCGTGGAGTCTGCGCACTGGCCGTTCTGGATGGGGTTGATGAAGCGGTTTCTGAACTCTTTCACTGATCCCAGCAGATTCTCCTTGATGAAGTTCACCATACAGTGATCTGAGAGGAGACAATGACACTTTCACTTCCAGAAATGATTCCTGTCATAATTCAAGTCTTTCCACATTCAGAATGATTTGTTTTCCACCTCAATGGCACAACCATGAACTGCCATAGACTACCTGAAGCATAATGGACATATAATAATCCAGATCTGATTGAAATCTGACCCACTAGCTGCAATGAAATTTCTGGGAGTCCAGAAGCACTGACTGTTTAGAGCTAGTTGGAGGTTAGTTTTTTTTCCCCCCCTAAAGCAATAATTTAGTATTTAAAGCTGCAGTCCGTAAGTTTTGCCTCTTTGTCGCCATCTCCGTTTGAAAACCTGCAATTGCAGCTGTTTGCGGAATTATCTTCCTTGCGTGGGTTGTGCACTGCACGGCTCCAGCGCGGATTAATCTAATGTTCTGAAGAGTATGTGTGGCAGTCAGTCACTGCACCGGTGTGGATATTTAATGTACTTCGCAATCACAGATTCTAGCCTACGTTTTGGAATATATGACCCAAATAAGAATTTTCACCGTATATTGTCATCTGAACAAGTAAGTAACCA